GAAATTAAATAACGCCGTCAATCAAGATGGCAAACACATGGTTGGTTGTTCTAATCAATTAATCTCACTCGAAATGTTCTAAAGTTTCTAAGTATTTCCCACCTTAAACAACCTGGGGTTACCAACTTCTCAATCAAAAATTACTACTTACTACTTACACAAAATATAAGTAGCATATTCAAAGTTATTGGCCCATACATGCTTGCCCCATCGAGAAGCTCCGACTCACTCTCTATCGTAGTTCTGCCGCTGGCCGACCCCTGACGAAGAGTACCTCCAACTGCCATCTTAACCGACGTCGAGGTATCAAGGCGCAAGGTTCTGTTTGCCTTCTTCTTCTCCATCGTTGCTGTCATCGACGTTTTTGCCGGTACCACTGTCGAAGATGCCGGTACCATCAATGTCGACGTCACCACACAGCCAATTTTTTCGGCCCAGGCCATGCGGCGTTTGGAAGCTAATCGTAGGTCAGCTTCGTCTCGTCGACTGATCGGCTCGAATTTGGCTTCCTTCGTGTCGGCAAGTCTTGAAGTCGTTCTCAAGTCGACAGTCGCCTCAACGACCGGTTCCACAAGGTGGCCGGTCTCGACCTGCATCATCAACTGTTTCGGAGAGCGCCACTCGAAGGGTGGACAAAGCTCCAGCCAACTCTTGACCGAGGCAAGGGCCAATGGTGCCGAAGTTGGTGGGTAAAGTCCATCAGTGTTACCATAACGACGAGGCGCTATGATGCTGACCTGCCACAAAAGGTATCGTAAAGTATCGCATAAAATGAGCTAAATTCCAATTTAATTGCAATTTATTGACAGTTCAGTGTCGACTTGACGAGGATTTCGCACAAGAAAATGATGATGGTGATTAGAGCGATAATGGATGCCTTGCAGTCTAGTGTTGGGCTGTCGCAGGCCTCAAAACGCCCATTTTTGGTACCAGTAAAGATGTGCCCAATGGTGACATGACTGTTCAGTTCGAAGGAAGAATGTGATTAGTCGCACTAGAAACCAAATACTTTACTTGACGATGAGCCAAATACTTCTTTGCGCAACCGAAAATTTGTCAAATCAAGACAACCAACTCTCTTTCGGTATAAAGTGAGACCAATTAATGAATTAATTCTATCCAACTTTACCATGAAAATGAATATTTGTGTCATAATTAATTATGATAAAAATCTAGGAAACATAGAATTTCTATTTATTAAAAATATGCAAACATTCAACTTTCAAATGGTAGAGATCATCAGAGCACAGCTGAATTCATAACCTGTCAAAAAATAGTGAAACATTCATAACTGTAGCTATTCATAAAATAGTTTGTCCGTAAGTAGGTGTCGAATGATTTGTTTCCCGAATAACGTTGTCTTTATACAAATAGATGTTCAGCATTGTGTGTGTATGCATGTGTACAAGCGCGAACATATGAAATACAATTTTCTATATAGAGGGGCTTGCCACTTTCGAGCCCATTCAGTTTGGTATGCTGCGAGCTTATGCTGCGAAATATTAATAATTCTTAAATAGAAACTTATTTGACAGAGAGACATCCCCAAGATGACATGAATATGTAATACGATGCCAGGACCAAACTAAAGTCTGGATCTCGCCAAAGGTTAGACAAC